GAATGGTATAGATTCGTTTTTGGAGATGACTCATTTTGATCATATCTAGGGTTCAAATTGAACCTTTTTTTTTTGGGGGGATTGATTATTGAGATGAGGAGAGTGTATGTTCAAAATTTGGGGTCATACAAATACCACAAACATAGTTTTGTATAAGTGTCGTTGCATTATACTATGATACAACCGTTGCATTTGATCATTGCTTTATATATTATTTTTAATTATAAAATTTAAAGCTAAAAAAATAAACAATGTAGATTGAACAGATCTATGAAAACTTAAAAATCTTGAAAATTGATGGTCAAAAAATGTGTTACGAAATGCACTATTTCCAAAACTCGAAATCCATTTTTTTCTCATGTCCACATCTTGATGTCGGGATGATCAATTCGAGGATATTTGGATATCAAAACATCTTCTAATGAAATTTTCGAGGTGGGTGCTAATTTATTTGTTTAGAGCTGTTGCTTCATATAAACTATTTCATTAAAATAAAGAGAAGTGAGAATTTAGGTATGGATTTTTTCGACTAATATTATTTTGATTTTTTTCTCTAAAACCATATTTTCTTCATTTAGATAAACTCGTTAAATTTCTTGAAAGGATGGTTCAAATCGCGTGCGGAGCGTACACCGTACTCGTACGATAAGTTTCAGAAAATAAGATAAGTTTCAGAAAATACTTAGTAGAGTTCGAATGCAGTCAACAACTCTTTACGACTATCCAATCGTGCATCTAACGGCAATGGATTGTGACCATATTGTACCAATATTAAACAAGCTCATGATATGCCCTCCCGTTATTTACCTCAACGGACGCGGGTTGATGAGCCCCTGGGAATTAGGTTTTTGGAGCGTGTTTTAGAGCCAGAGAGGGAGAAGGCAAGGAAAGCCGCGGCGGAGGGCAGTCTGCAAATTTCCTCTCAAATTCCACACCATGGCTGAGCAGGTCACCTCTCTTCTCTTACTTCTTTATCGTCTTCCATGTTTATGTCTCTCACTATGCCTCTGTGTTTCTCTCTCTACTGTGATTTGTATGTCGCCTTCTTTTGCAGTACATATTGCTCTCATTTACCGTAGAGCATGTATGAGTAGTAATTAATATTGTTGTTTGGATCACATATGTGTATGAGTTTTCATTTTGAGTGTGCTGATTGCTAAACTTGATGGAGACTCTTGTAATTTGTTATTCCTTGCTTTATTTGCATTCCTATAATTTGATGCCACCCATGAAGCCATTAGGCATAGATCTATTGCATTGGTTCCAGGCAATGTGTTTTTTCTGTGAGGCCATTGATTGTTAATTTTTGCAGTGGAAGGCTTTTATTTTCTTGTGAGATGGCTCTAACTATTAACGGTGGCTCCATTTCTTGTTCTTCTGAAAAGTTCTTGCATAAGTAATATGTTATCTTGAAAATTTGAGGTATTTGGGATTTGGAAATGTTCCTTATAGTCTTATACGATGATGCTTGCAAGAGCAAATATTCATGAAAGAAAGCTACCTTCTTTTAAAAAATAAAACCCAACTTGTAGTGCTCATTATGAACGCCTGTAAAAAATTTAATGGAATAGCAGCAACGTTTATCTGTTTGACATTTAAATTGCTTTTGAAATAAAATACTATATTGCTGCCATGCGAAGGTTTGTTTTGCATGCTCATCTCATGAAATTTTTTTTCAAAACTAATCTCATTTTTCAACAAGGAATTTTGTTTTGTGATGTAATATGGTTATCCTCTAAACTTATGTTTCAATTTATCCCCCATAAAAACAAAATCATGTTTTTCTTGAGGTATTCTTGAGAAAAGTCATCATTTTGGTTCAGAAATAGCATCCTTTTTCATTTAAGTCGATCTTTTGGTGATGTTTAAGTATAATAGTTCTGAAAAGGTGTTTATTTTTTCTTAACGAAACATGAAATTTAATAATGCATTCAGCTTTTATTTCTGAGAACAGTGTTCAAAGACTCGCCCGACTCAGCTCAGTCTTGGGCGAGTCACTTGCCCTCGGCAGCTTGCCGAAGCCGGAACATGGTAGCCAGTACCGTACTTGGGTGAGTACTTTACAAACTGTCATTGACTCGTTTTTACAGACTCGTACTACACTTGCATGAGGAGTGAGTACTGTACAAACTGTCCTTGACTCATTTTTTACAGACTCGTACTAGAATTTTGCTTGATCAACACATTAGAAACATTGAATTCCAGAGAAAAAAATCAAGATTTCAGAGTTTTTTGAGAACTTAAGTTTCAGGTATGGGTTTACCTGAATTTGAAAATTTGTGATTTCTTTGCATGCTTAGTCGATCCTTGAAAACTTTGAATCCCAACATATTTTTAGTTTATTGCTCAAAACATAGGCATTTTATTCTCTCAAAGTGAAAAAAACAATATCTCGATTTTGATAGATTTAACATTCGGATTTATTATTCATCCAAAATTTCAAGAGCACAGATCTCCTAGATCATAATTCGAAACTCAAAATTGGTTGGGGGTTTTCGATTCAAGAAGTATAAGGAAGATTTCACAAGGATTGGAGGCATTGCTTCGCACGGGCTGGAGATCGGGAGATTGGGAGATCAGCCTCAAAATTTTGGGTGAATTTTATTTTTCAATTAAAATGCATGTCTATGATTTTTTTTTCTACTGAATCAATAAGTTTTGATGTATAATTAGTTTTTTTCTATAACTATGTACTTATTCTGTAGTTTTCTGATTTTTCTATTGTGTATATATGTCTTTTTTAAATTTTTTTGAGCTAACGACATCAATTTTTCATATTTCATGGTTTCTATACTTCTTTATTTTGCATTTTTTTTAGGTTTTTACTATTATTTTTATGGATTTTTCCCTTTTTTTGGGAGGCCTTTTTGGCTTTTCCTTGGTTCGGGCATGACTTGGCCAAGTCTGAGCTCAGTCACCTGAGTAACTCAGCACGGGCAGGGGCCTAGTACCTTGCCTGGATTGTATTTTTGAACATTGATAGAGAAGCTTGATAAGTTGTAATCACCTTTTAATCTCTTTGCCCTTTCCTTCTGTGAAATTGAAGCAACAACTTTCTTCTAGTTCAAAATCTGCTTTCTTATTTTGTTGATCTGTGGAATCCTGTCTCATCTATCACTCCTATATGTTTATCCTTTGTGTTTTGTGATGGTGAGGAATCTGATAGTGACCAAGAACTTTCTTTGAAAGAGCTGATTAGACTGCTCACTGGTTTTTCCAACTTCTTGTTTATTTAGAGGTTGAACCGTAAGACTTGTTCACAGAAGCCCTTCTTTATCCGTGGCAGTACTGGTTTTGGGTTGAACTAGTTTGTTTGTAGTTTTCTTCCCTTCTCTGTGTTTTTGATGTCTCATGCCCCTATCATATTTTGAGGGCAGAGCAGGAGTGAATGCGCACCCATGTCATATTTGAGGGCAGAGCAGGAGTGAATGCGCATGTTGGAGCTGCAAGGCACTTAATTCTGAGGAGAAGTTGTCTAGGGATATCAAAGAATCACCATTGTTGGCAGGGGAATATGGTCCTTGTAGATTGGTTAAATGATCGCCAATAGGATCCAAAGTTATACTAGATTATAATGCTCCCCTAAGGTTCAAGACAAGCCAATTCCATGATTGGTAATTTGAGCTATCTACTCATGTCTTGATGTAGAAAACCAGAGAATGTTGTCACTGAATTTCTTTTCTTGCTTTTGTGTCATTCCAAACAACAATTCCTGATAATGAGTTTTGGATCGTTTCTTAGGCATGTGCCAGTGATGCTTCAGTAAAATTTGTTTGATCGAGTAATTTGATTTTACCAGTTCTGTTCATGACGCATTTGGTTGTTTGAGTGTCATTTGATGTCTGAAGAATGGGCTCTTTTGCAAAGTTGGCAATGTACCCTTGGGTCCATGTCGATGGTTTTATATCAATTTTAGTGATTACTTCTGGTTTGATGTGGTCGAATGACATTTGATGGGCTACAGTGTTACTAGGAAAATTTGGAGTCGTATATGTAGTTCTTAAGTTTGTCAAACAAGTCCATACATACACGCTTTTGGTTTTCTATTGCTTCTATCAACAAACCATTCAATTTGAGTATTGACTTGGATCTATCTCTTAAGAGTCGGGGGACTTGAGGGAACTTCTTGGCAAACTTTTCCTTTTTCATAGTTGTTTTGGTCTACATATGTGCTCCTTAGAATGTTCTAAAAGGCAGATTCAGCGAAGGCAGCCTTAAAGCTTGGGGTTGGGGTGTTATATTTTTGGGTGGGCACCCAAGGAGAGTCACGGTGGGAGTGAGGAGTAGGTGGATTCAGTGTGGCGTGGGAGGGAGTGGGGATGTGAGGAGGGCCTGGATTACCTAAGCGTCTAGGTGGCCAAACTTTTTTTCACTGGCTCCTTAACCTTGTGCATCTAGATGGCAATTGGGATTCGTTTTTCTTCTTGAAAGGCATTAAGTGTTGACTTATGCTCTCTGGGCTCATAGTCATTTGCAATAGATTGCTCGCATTGATTCCTACGTGACCAATCATATATACTTGTAAGGTTTATTTTAATATTTTGGGAGACAGTATGATAACGTATATCGGTGTATGTAGTGCATCAAATCGTGCAACCTTGTTTCCATTGTTCCATGTTTGCAATTGTCTCGTAGTGATTAGATTCCATTCTCTTCTTCCCTTTCTTTTCTACACACAGAGTAGCTAGGGTTTATAGTCATGCAACAGAGTAGCTAGGGTTTATAGTCATGCAACAGAGTAGCTAGGGTTTATACCCAGGCATGAACTCACACAGTCAGGTTGTGGCAAAAACATGCAACCAAAAAGGCAAATGGTGAGGGTCAGAGATGACTACAGAGACTTCGATGGTGGGAGGAACCAGTCATCGTTGCTTATAATTACTGATTGTCTTACATACTGGATACACTCTGGTAATCATGTGAGGAGGCACTTCAATTGTGTAAAAGTTTAATATTTACTTCATCTTCACTGGAACTCTACTCTCTTTCTATTCTCCCTCCCACATAAACCAATCCAGCAGAATGAGTAATACCCCCACATCATACCTGCAGTGTAAAAGTTTAATATTTACTTAATCTTCACTTTGGAACTATACTCTCTCTCCGTTCTCTCTCCCACATAATCCAATCCAGCAGAATGAGTATGACCCCACATCATACCCGCACACGTTAAGTGTAGATTTATTTTTTACATTGAACTTGTTCGATAAGTTGGATTACTATTTGAATACGCAGTCTGCAATATTACTTCCACTATGACTTATGATATGATTAATCAATAAGACAATTCAAAATTTATCTGTTGCTTGCTATCATTTTTGTTATGTAGATATTGAAGTTTGATGGTTAGAAACTCATTTCTTGTTTCACGATCGCAGACACATCTGTAATTATTTTGCATAGAATATCAATTAACAGTCTTTTGAGTGATATGGTGGCATCTTCTGTGTACTTTTGCATGATTGTTGCATCAAAATAGGAAGCTGATTTGTAGGTTGATTTTTTTTTTTGGGTTGTCTATGCAGACAGAGAAAGCATTTTTGAAGCAACCCAAAGTTTTCCAAAGGTAATACACTTTCACTTGGTATTTACATGCATATACATGCAGACAGGCACTTATATGCACGTGCTATTCATATTCAAATCATACTTGTGGTGGTCAATTGTAACAGTTCTAAGAAATCTGGCAAGGGTAAGAGACCCGGGAAGGGTGGAAACAGGTTTTGGAAAAACATTGGACTTGGTTTCAAGACACCAAGAGAGGCCATTGAAGGTGATTTCTTTGTCCTTTTCATTCTTTCATTCTTATGGCTTGCTGGTGAATGATACTTGTAATTTGCTTGTAGCATCAGTACTGAGATGAAAACAAATCGCTTTGGTGTCATTTGGGGTTCAAATTGTTAGGGTCAAGTTGAATTTGGAACTGTTGAAGCTAAACAGGGAATGGTTCTACCCCAACTTCAATTGGTCCAAGCTGGGTACAACAAATAATAGAATATTATGTTTATGATAAAAAGGAAGTAGATCAAAATCGTCAAATGTGATAAGTAAACAAGGATAATTGTGGGACGGATGAATATCTCCGGTTTTAAGTTCATACAAGTCGTAGAAAATTGTACACCAAAAAAGAACTAAGTTAGGATAATAATATACTAGGTAATGATATGTACAAACCAAAATAAATATTTTTTCGAAGAGCATTTCAAAAGGGAAAGTATTCTGTACTAGCATTTGGGAATTGCGATCCCTACACTTTCCTAGCCTGATTTCTATTTGCATGTAGAGGGCAAATGATCTTATTGCCATCTCTTTTCCTTTTATTAGATTTTCTTAAAACTTTTTTGTTTGAATTTGCTTCATTCATGTCTTCCCTGAAATATTTGATGTCATTATCATGTTACTCCATGAGTGGCAGCTGGGATCAGCTCACCAACCGTTCAATGTCAACATGGAAAGTTTGCAATTTGTCCTTTCTCTGAACCACATCAATCAGTCCATTATTAGCATCTGATGGTTGGGAAGTTTTAGCAAACCTTCGGAGGTCCAAATGCTGGCATAGTATACAACCCGCAAAAAAACAGAAGATAAAGTTGAAAGAAAATTTTTCACAGCCAACCCTGTGTTCTGGTTTTTTTCTGCTGGACTATAGTAACTAATGTGCAGTCATTCGCAGAGAAGCTATGAACCCATGATCAACAGTATGTTACTGGATTGGGATAAATAAGTCATGCTACGATATAGAGAGGGCCACAATGCAAGGTGTTCTGCTGGATTTAGATATCTAAGTGTTGTACTTGATTTTGATAATTAATGATATATGGGTCTCCATTTGATTTGGTGGTGGACATCATCTCAGGCTTGGTAGTTTTGTTTTTCCTGTCACCTGACTTGGTTGCCATGAAGCTTTGACTTTCACTAAGATGAATGGTTGAATCATGTTTGGGCAGTCTCTCTACTTCATATAGGATAAAATGCAATAAGCACTTTACCAATAGTAAGCATTATAGGATTTACTCAAAAAAAAAAGGTAGGCATTATAGGAACATCACAAATATGCAAAAATAAATACAGGTAGAGTAAAAGCCAGAAAAGCAAAGCCTCTGTATTTTAATTGGCCAACTGGAGATTATTATTCAATTATTTCATCTCCAGGGAATTTACTTTTTTACCTCTTTGATAAATGCAAGTGTTCCGTATTTATTGGATTTTGCTGCTTAAAGCCAATGGCTAAATCACCCTTTTTTTTTATAGAAGTTAGACGACTCATTTGTGTACTTTTGTATTAGTTCACTGGATGCCACATCATTACTGTTGTAGAGTTCAATAATTTGAAATTAGTTGCTTAAATATTATAAAATATAATTAAATTTGAGTTTACAGTGATGTAAATTATTAGAATGCTTACTAACAATTAAGAAAATAGTGGTACTGTTTGTTGCCAGTGAAGAAACAAACCCAAGTTATCATCCAAAACTACCAGAGTAGGTGAAGCAGAGAATTCATTCTCCTAACTTTTGTGCTGGACCACTATTATATTATAGTTAACTACTTGATGCTTTGGTATAACAGTTTTCATGCTTTGATCAGTTTACATTTTTTTTTGGTGTGTGTGTGTGTGCATGTATGCGTGAGTGGGTGGGCCAGGGGTGGTATTGTCATTGGGTCCTCTCACAAGCTTACATGGCTTGGTATCTTAAATTATCATAGTTTCTTGTTTTGTCATTTAAGAAGCAGCTCAATTTTGGCTTGAGTCATGTGGCTTGGATTGATTCAACCATGTTTCCTGTCTGAATTACTGATGTGACTCATAGATTTCTTGAGTCAAAGGGTGAATCTTGTCCCAATGAGTCATCTGAATGTTGCAAGTCCTTTAGCAAGCTATAATGTGGCATAGCAAGTTTCTGTGCTCATGCATCTAGAGGAGCATAACATGTCTAATGTAACTGACTGCAGGCGTATTTCCAAATATAGAAATTTAGGGATTTAGCCCTTAAGATTAGAAAATTTTGGACTATCATTTCTTCTAGGTGTAACTATTGTTTTCTGTTATACTATTGATATCGTCAAAGCCTTTTCCCTACTAATTGGGATCGGCTACATGAATCCTGGTTCATCATTGTGCTCTATTAAGGGCCATATCCCCAGTGATAATAAACAATACATCTAAATCTTCACCATGATAATGATATTCTGGATTTAGTCAAACTCTCAGGGATTTCGGTTGAATCCATAGTATTTTTTGTTTTTGATTAGTGTTTCTATTTGTCTGTGGTGTGTGCATTTGTCCACGGGGTCATGTGGGTGTATTCCTGAATTTTTAGTTTTGTAGCTATTGGTGCGACTCATTGTTCTGAAATTGCAGTAATTTTGAATGAATCTGTAAGCCTGCTTAACGATTGTATATTGTTCTCATTTTCATTTATTACTGTTGCATGGAAGCACAACACAATTTTGTTTTTGACATCTGTGCTTTGGCTTTCAGGAACGTACATTGACAAGAAATGCCCTTTTTCTGGCAATGTTTCTATCAGGGGGCGTATTTTGACAGGAACATGCTACAGTGCTAAAATGACAAGAACCATAATCGTGCGCAGAGATTATCTTCACTTTGTGAAGAAATACCAAAGGCAAGAGATGATAATACCATATTTCTGTCATGCATCGTATGCCTGAGAATTGTTGTATTGATATCAAAACTTTACTATTGGTCAGATATGAGAAGAGGCACTCTAACATACCAGCACATATTTCACCTTGCTTTCGTGTCAAGGAAGGTGACCATGTCGTGATTGGTCAATGCAGGTACTCATCTATTCATTCTCTTTATTTCATGAATGCATGCTGTCACCGGGTTAAGAGGCAAACTTGTGAATGAGTCTAAAACTTTGAGCCAAGTCAGGTCAAGTAGCGTGGGGCTTGACTCAGTTTATGTGCATGTTTTGCTCGTCTTTTTCACTTTTTATTTTGGATTTTCAAACAGAGTTTTATCTCTCTCTCTCTTCCTGTTGTTTATGATTTCTATTTTATGCTCTCTCTCTGTTATGCCATGTTTTAAAAATTGGTGATCCGGATTGGAACCAGCCGATCCGGATCGGGAATCGGCCAGGCCGATACCGATCCTGCTAAATATCAAGAACCGGCTAGTTCCCCCCTTGAGCCGGCTGGTTGTGGCCGGTTTCATTGGGGACTGTTTGGTTCCATCGGGAACTGCCCGGTTCCTATGATGTTTTCTGTTTTCCTATGCTTTTTTAATTTCTTCAAATTATTTTATTTACCGGGCCCCACATCTTTATTGCATTTTTTTTATTTCTTCAATTTTTTTTCCCTTCACTGGGGTCCACATGTTTAATGTGAATGAGCAATCCCATGCGCAACCCAATAAAGGGGGCAACCCCATGCTCAACCCGATAAAGGGAGCAGCTGGACACTTTACCCCTTGCCTCTTTTTATAGTTCTCGGCCTCCCAAAACAGAAAGCAGGTGATCGAGCAAGCTGGACACTCTACCTCCTTGCCTCCTTATATAGTTCTCGGCCTCCCAAAACAGAAAGCAGGTGCCCAATGTGGGACTAAACCAAACTAATTACAATAGAGTCAACAGGGATAAAACACAATATTTATAAGGCTGGCCTTATTTCAAACATACCCTTTTGGTAACGTCTTCAACAAGTTGGTTTTCCTTTGGGAGGTTAAATGAGTTGGTCTCTTCTTGCTCTTATTTGTGAAATTGTCCAAGACTTGAGTGTGTGAAATAATCTTGCTCTTCATTGATTTCCACATAAACTAAATCAAAGTTGAAAATTGGTAGGGAAAAAAGGTTACGTAAAATTACAGACCACGAAGAATTATCTATTTTTAGAGGGATCTATTTTAAGCTCTCTCTCTCTCGAAAAGTGATCTCCTTAAAGTGTACTACCATATACAGAATTGGAAATCAACAATTTTTGTAGCATTGTTATGTGCAATTGTCATTTTCTTGGCATATACTTTGATGTGTTTGTTTAACCTGTTACCTAAATAATTTTCTCTGAAATGTGTTGTCATGGTCTAATTGCATTTTGTAATCAATAATTTTTCTTCACAATTTTCTCCTTTTGTGTATTATGTGGATACTGCAATTCCAATTTTTTGTTTGTTTGTTGGGTTTTATCACCTAAATATTCCATGCTTTCCTAATTTAAAGCTCTCTTTTAAAATTAAAATTTATATTTTCCATCCTTCATAAAAACTTAAAAATTAAAGTTATCTCCTTTAAAATCTCTCTCTCTCTCTCTCTCGCACATAAAATCTCTCTCTCTCTCTCTCTCGCACATAAAAAATCTCCTCTTAAAAGCTTTCTCTGTCTCTCTCTCGCATGGATTCATAGTATTTATGTATTTTTGTTCAAATAATGAAAAATCATAATGCAATACTACTTTTTTCTTAGAAATCTAATCAGCTAGATTTTTAAGAAATTTTAATGATTTTTTGAATTTTGTTTAAGGTTGGATCTTGCCATCCGGACCACCGATCTAGGTTACCAAGCTGTTTTTTTTAAATGATTGCTATTACCTGTTTTATGGAAATTTCTCTGGCCTTACATAGAGAGGGTGAAAGAGATTCCACTATGAAGTTATGGACTAGATTCTAAGGAGTTGGCAGTTGAAAATATTATACGTTTGCTTGTTGGCCGGCAAAGTTGATTTTGGAGGGGGTTCTTTTCCATCTTTGGTTGTTTTTCCTCTGTATCTTGAAAGAGATGATTCAGTTTCAATCATTCCCAACACATCAAGGGCTTGATTTGAAAGCAGCCAAAATCTTAAGCCCAATTTAGTTGGGTTCTGTTCACTCTCTTCAATGATTGACAATTTGTTGAAGGCTTTAGAGTAGCAGTATTGGTATCTCCGATTCCTGTCCAAATTTGTAGTTGGAGGAGCTTTTCTGAGGGTGGAGTTCAGCTTATTCTGCTTAGTCTTGGACAAGACAACATCAGCATATCACCAGTATGCTTGTCTTAACATATAATTGTAAAGCCCTCTATTTCGCTTTCTTTCTCAAAAAAGAAGCATATAGAAACATGATCCAATGTTGAAGTCTTTGTCGAGGTAGAATCATGGATACAGAGTGTAGTTAATCCTTGACCAGTCATTCTTGGACGTCAAGCATTGTTATAGTTTGAAAACTCTTCCTTTTTGGCAGTTCAGTTCTCAGAACTTCCTCTTTCAAACTTGCGGTGTTTCTGTGTGTGTCATTTGTGCTGGTTTGGGTTATTTGTTATCTTTTGATTGAGGTCTTGATGGGGTTCGTGGTTTATTTGCCTTGTTTTGTGCAGGCCCTTGTCAAAGACTGTGAGGTTTAACGTCCTGAAGGTTATTCCAGCAGGTTCCTCGGGCAGTGGTGGCAAGAAGGCCTTTGCACCCATCTAGGTTTTCCTTGATTGCTGTCGCGTTTATTTCTGATTAGGAATATTGCGAACTCTTTTATTTTTGGACACATGATTAGCATAGAATGAGGTTTACTGGAGTTTCTTGGGAGTTGGCAACTGGGTTCTTCGTGCATTTTTCCTGTTGGTGGTCTTGGGAGTTGGAACTGTAGTCTTGATCATTTTTCCTATTGGTGGTTTTACTTGATATTTTATAGAGCAGTTTGTTGGTGCTTTCAGCTGCTCTTTTATATGGAAATTTTACCCGAGATTGTCTTTTTGAGCATGGTATTCCATATGGAGAATATCTTTTGTGTGAAAGCTTCACATATAAAATCAATCATGATGATCAGGGTTTTAAAAATCCGAATCAGATCCCGAATTGATTGCCTCAGATTAGACGATTCAGACTTGTCTGGGTGATTCCTAAGTCTAGATTGTTAAACGAACACAAAAGAAAATATGAAAAATATAGGGAGTTTTTTTTTTTTTCCCATTCTTTTGTGGGGCATGGGATGAAATAGGTTGGTGATTCAATGGTTATTGAAACCAGAACCCACCGCCCATAGGCCTTGTGGGTTAATTAAGGATGTGGTTTCCGTAGCTAATCCTTTAGGAAAGGAAATAACGCCTCGCCTCAAAACCTCGTGAAACCATTCCAGGCACGGGGAAACTTTAATGGGCTTTAAGCATTATTTTCATCATCGATTATGAAATTTGTTAAAAAATTTAGGTGGACAATGCGGATTAACGAACACTTCAAAGGAATGGTCTAGATAAAGAACGATATGTACTATTTTCAGGCTTGAAATTATTATTTTTAGCACTCATAATAGTCAAGGATGAGATATCTTGTGGCGATGAGGTTTCAAAATTTGAAGGGATTTGTGAGGAGTCAGTTTTTTTTTTTTTTTTGTTCTTTTTATTCTTTTAAGGTGGGTTGGATACGATGACGAGACATCTTGGTTTTTTTTGTTCTACTCTAATAGGCCCCAAGTTAACAATTGAAAAAATAAAAAAAGCCCAAGTGTACTTGAACCCTGAAATGTATAATACAGGTAAGAGCCAGTGATGAGTAAGTTCCAACACCACAAAGGTCCTGCAAAATTTGACATGAAAGAGATAGAGAGAGGCGAAACCCAAATTGAGGTTCTTTCCATTTGAAAGAAACTAAATTATTTATTTAGGAGTAATTAATGCAAGGTCACAATTTAGAAGCTAGGTTGTGTGGTATTCTATATGGCCCATTTTAATTGGATAGTATGGCTTTGACACTATTTTTTTTGAGTAGTGTTAAATTTACGCATCGAACTAAAATGGATGATGTGATTACCTCAACTACGACTAAACTTCTTGGTTTCTATAAACTTCTTCCTTGATAGCTGAAAGCTAATTAAATGTAGGGCTACGTGAAAACATCGGTGAAAAAAAAAAAAAAAAAAGAAAAAAAAAAAAGAGAGAGCCAAACTAGCAACCCCACTCTCTTCTCGTCCCATGATTTTGGGGCCCATTTCTATTGCCATTTTTACAGGTATTATTTTGATGGCTTTTGGCTGCTGGAAGTTGCATTTTAAAGGCTAGTTTCCTGTTAATTTTGCATTAGGCTTTGATTGAAATTTCAAAGCTTAGATTTTTTGTAATCTGATTGGGGATCGCTTTGTGATCTTATGGAAAAGAGGCATATGTGAGAGAAAAGAGAAGAGAGAGAGAGAGAGAGAGGCGGGTTAGGGTTTCACCTCCATTAGAGCTAGGGCCTCTTTTGTTCGCCATTTTTGGCCTTTGTGGCTTGAAATGGTGGAATTTCCAAAATAAAGTTGAAAATGATTTGGGGATTATTGAAGCAGTAAGGGCTTTCTTTATGCCATGAAAGAGGGTTACAGGAGTCTTTAGCAGGACTCCTTCACTCTCTCTCAACTTCATGTCCGAGTTGAGACGAATATCTTCCAAACGATTAAGGAGGTAAGCAATTAGAATAACAATTTTCCTTGTATGAATATGAGGATGGATCCTCGTGGAACTGCTACAGAGGCTAGTAAGGTTATTAATAAGAGGTAATGGAGATTTCAAGTTATTAATTTGACAGTCGAAAAATGGGTCCCAGCTTTAGAAGAAGCTCCCTGATAAGCTAAAAATACTTTGGTACAAAGTTGTTGGAGTTCCAGTGATAGCTTGGTCGATTGAGGTGGGGAAAGGATGCTAATGGTGACTATGTGCTTTCCAGAAAATCTTGTATAGTGTCCCAAAAACGGTGCCATGTTCCTTCTCTTTACCTATCTTTCTTCCCAAAATGACTGGTCTCATGCCTTGATCTTAACAGGTAAAGGGAAAGAAAAAATGAACAATTTTGTTGAAGAGAGAATCGCTAAGAAAAACGGGTCCTAGCAGGCCACCGCTATTGTTATCATACGAGGTTCACGCAAGTGATAGTGAAGATAATCAGTCACCATTAGATGATGACATTGATGAACCAGTGTTCCTGAAACATGCTGGGACTAAATGCGGAGGCCTTTCATTTCGAAGAACTGAACCAGTCGTTGGTGGTTCCATCTTTGGTGATGCGGCTACCAAATGAGGAGTTTGAAGAAGTATTAGAGGAAGATGATGTCGTAGAAGAAAGCTATTTACCATTGATAAGTGGTTGATGCTATGAACCTGCACTACAATGAGCCGTTGGATGCCATTTCAGAAGCTTTGATGCAAACAAGAAATGAAAATATTGCGACTTAGCAAGGTGGAATAAAATCAAAAGAGGTAAAGGGTAGAGGCCGAGTGTAGCATGAATTGGATAATTTGGTAAGTTTCATTTAACTATGACAAAAGAAATGTGATGGATGGAGATAGAGCGGCCTCTGAACCCTGTCTTTTGTGGTTGTTGGTTCGTCTAGGATCACCAATCACAGAAAATGGTACAATTCTGAATGAAAATCTTTCGTTAGAATGTTTGGGGTCTCAATGATAATAGACGAAAAAAAGATCTTCTATTTTTGGTCAAATTTGAGAAACCTGACATTTTAATCTTACGAAGAGACGAAAATGGAGGCCTGGAACTTTAGGAGTGCTAGGGCTGTATGGGGACGCAGACTTTATTCGATCTAGTAAATCTATCCCTAAAAAAACCTATCATTGAGGAGGTAAAAGATATCAGGCCTATTAACTTACTTAAGTAAATCTATCCCTAAAAAACTATCATTGAGGAGGTAAAGGTTATCAGGCTTATTAGCCTACTCGATAGCTCGTACAAGATTATTGCCAAAGGTCTTGCTAATAGACTTCGGGAGGTTTTGCATTCGGTGGTTTTAATACCTCAGTCTACTTTTTTTTGAATGAAAATCGTTTTATGCGGGCTGGACCGCATTTCTACATATGCGGTCCAGAAAGTGTAAAGCATCCATCTTAAAAAAAAAGTTTATATAAGGTTGCAACCTTGTATGTAGAACTACGGATGCACCTAAAAAATCCATCAGAAAAGATAGTTTGAATGTTGACAAACCCTTTGATTGATCATCTCGACATCGAGATGTAT